GGGGTTTCGGCCTGGTGTAGGAGAGCATACACATGTGGGGGTACGATTCAGGGGAGGAGGGAGCAGATGCAGGGGTCAGGGCCTTCAGCACTGGGGAGACACGAGGAGGTGTGTGGGCTTGGGGGTGAGAGGGTTCAGGTTTTGGGTCCCCATGCGAACGCTTAGAAGGTGACTTGAGTGGGTTCCAGGGTCACAGTGCACAGGCTTGAGAAGGTAGCGATACGGGCTTGGAACGTGAGGTTGAAGGTGAGGGTGTACAAGCTTAGCCCCCAGATTTGGGGGCATATGTGTGGGCCCCTGAGGGTGTACGCGCTCTGGGGTCTACAGCCCGGGGTGTATGGGGCTTAGATATGGAGGATGCAGGGAATGAGGTCTGGGGAGAAGAGCGTGCTGGCCTGGGCGTGTGGGGGTACGGGCTGCTGAGTGTGTGGTGCGTGGCAGCTAGGGAACGAGGTGTCCAGGCCCAAGTGAGAGAGCGCGCTGATCCAAGAAAGGGGGCCTGGGAGGAGGCTGTGCAGGCCGGAGGGGCGCTCTTGGTCTTAGACCAGGCCTTGCATCCAACTCACCTCTACTCCCCGATCTCCTCCCCCCAGTGCCCCGTCAGGATACCTTTGGGCAAGGTCTAGAAAGCTTCAAGCGTTCGTAAGTGATCCCGGAGCCTGGGAAGAGGTGGGGAGAGGGGGGTCTCCCTTGGGAGGGGAAGCTGCGGGGGAAGGCAGGATCGGGGAAGGCGAGGAGTGGGGGCCCAGGGTGGGCCTGAGGGCACAGGACCTCAGTGGGGTTCACGCACGCTCTCAATGCCACAGCGGTGAAAGGAAGTCAGAAGATGGGGGTGAGCTGGATTTCAGCGGCCTGTTGAAGAAGAGGTGAGCCCGCCCCACGTGGCATAGAGAGGGGAGATGGGGACTCACGAAGGAGAAGGATGGTGGGTGAGGTCCCCCTGCCACCTCGTCCATCTACCCGTCTACCCATCCCCCAGCCATCCGTCCGTCCGCCTACGCACCTGTCCACCATTCGCCTACACCTGTACTGACACCCACTCAACAGTCTGCCCACCGATTCACCTGCCCACCCGCCCTTTAATCCATCGTCCTCACATCCGTTTTGCTGTTCACTTAGGCTGCAGTTCACCTACGCATTCCCCTGTTCACCTCGCCAAACACCCATCCATCCGCTGGTCCAGCCACCCATTCACCAATCTCATCCATCCATCCCACCAGCTACCTTCGTATCCATTGACTAATCCATCCATCCCCTTACCTGCCCATCTGCCCTTGCATCCACTCACGCAGCCACTCGTCTACCCACCGTCTTCCCACATGTCCCTCCACCCATCTGCCATTAGCCTGCCAGCCACCTGTTCATTAGCCCATCCGTTCGTCCTTCCCCCGCCCAGTTCCCCCGCTGATCTCTCCTCTCTTTGTTCCCTTCCCTTCCTTCCTTCTTTCCAGAGATCTCCTCACTTTCTCACTCAGCAAACATCCCCTGAGGCCTCCTGTCTACCTGGGCTGAGATCAGGGGACGGAGAGAAGTGTGACTGGGTCCCTCACGTTGAGTCACTGATTGATATGGGCAGATGGGTCTGGTCCAGCAGACGTGGACACAGACCAAGACTGTTTAGTGTGATCAGAGAGAGGGTTCCGTAGGGGCCTTGTGAGAACCCAGAGTGAGGGCATCTCATTGCCTGGGAAGGCCAGGAGTGCCTCACAGAGGAGGGAAACTTTGGCAGTAGCCTGAAGAGGAGTCCATCAGGAAGAGAGAGTAGGGAGGGGTCATCCGGGCAGGGAAACATTCTGTGCAAAGGCTAGGGGGCAGGAGGGGGCCCAGAAGGTTCAGGAAAAGGCAAGTAGCGTGCTTGGGTGGTTGTGGGGGTGGTGAGGGCATGGTGGGTGGGGTCGTGATCGCCAGGCTGAGCCGCTAGGACTTCCTCCTGAGGGCAGTGGGGACCCATGGAATAATTGTGAACAAAAAAAGTGTGGCATCTGAGGTGGAAATTAGGAATATCCTCCTGGGGTCATGTGGGGAACAGGCTGGAGGGGAAGAGGCAGGATGGAGGCCAGGAGGCCAGGGAGGAGTCTGAGTCGATGGGCCAGGTGGGAGAGGATAAGGGACACCAGGCCCGGGGGGGGGGGGGCACAGCGAGTGGGTGGAGAAGGTGGAGGGAGCGCCTCACCTCCTCCCCCACCTGGGGGCCCTGCCTGCTCTCCCCACCCTCAGGGAGGTGGTTGAGGAGGAGAAGAAAAAGAAGAAAGATGATGATGACCTAGGCATCCCACCTGAGATTTGGGAGCTCCTGAAAGGGGCAAAGAAGAGTGAGTACGAGAAGATCGCCTTCCAGTATGGCATCACGGACCTCCGGGGCATGCTGAAGCGGCTCAAGAAGGCCAAGGTCGAGGTCAAGAAGAGTGCAGGTCAGCACTGCTCTGAGGAGAGATGGGCCCTAACTGTAGGGACCCCAGCATCATGGGTATTGGATGTTTGGGCTCTGGACCTCTCTCTTGAAGGTCCCAATCTAAGGAGTAATAGAGCTCTGTTCTCAGGCACCTCTAAGTTCATGGGAGGCTTCCTGACCTTGACCTTGGAGAGCCTGTGGTCTGGGGAGGGAGACCTGGTATCTCTGGGGACAACCAGGGCAGTGAGAACCTCTGAGCCCCATGCCCCCTGCATCCCTCAATCTCCAGCCTTCACGAAGAAGCTGGATCCAGCGTACCAAGTGGACAAGGGCAACAAGATCAAGTTGGT